CACCAAAAGACAAATGGAAAAAAAGGCTGCTTTAACATAATAGAATTTGTCACCTTTAATCACAAGATATAGAATGGCATAAAGAAAATAACCCATTATGGCTTACCATTCGTAGTCCAAATTCTTGCTTGGCCATCATATGAACCTGTTGCAAGCAATGTCCCCTCACCCTGAATACAGTGAGCAAAAGAATTATTCTTTTTCTAGAAAGAATGACAACCAAATAGGTAAGCGGCTAAAGTGTCATTCATAGCATTTCCAATTTAAGTTCACTTACTCCAAAAGAACAATAAAGTATACACTTTAGACAGCAATGATTGCATTTTACAAAAAGAGAGTAAAAACATTAGCATTAAATTGCAGCCATTATTAACCAAACATCCATTAGACAACAGAATGGTACAATTACATGGATCAACTTTCCCATCTACTCAAACAAACTAAAAGATCTACGGATGATCTCATAAACCTTGAGATCGATCTCACAAAGCATCACTGCCCTCCCTTCCCTGTGGCATCAATCTCTTAAACCTTTGGATTGATCCCATAAAGCATCATTATTTTATTCAATTATTTCCTAACAAAGCACTATTCAACTATTCAATTGTTTTTCTTTTTTTCATCCCTTTATTCATTATTTTTTTCTCAACAAAGCATCATTAACTATTTTTATTCAACTATTTCATAAGGATCATGTCACCTATAATTATTTTTACTAAGTACTATAATCTTTCATAAAATACAAAATAATTAAGATCAATTAAAGAAAAACATTTACATAACATAGGAAATAAAATTTTCACACATAAAAATCTCTGATTTCTTTTAATTTTCAATTTATGATTTATTCACTTGACAAACTAACCAATATAACAATACGATGCAAAATAAAAATAAAAATGGTTAAATATTATTTATATATAATATTTTTAATATTGAAAAAATCTTTTGTATGTCTTGCATAATTGATGAATGCTAATTTTTTATGATTTCATGGTAGAAAATTATTGAAGATGAAAAAAATTTTGAAGATGGGTCATGATAGAAATTATTTTCTATAAGATGATCTAAACGATAGAGAATATTTTCAGTAGTTTATCCAAACAACAGAAAATATTAGATTTTCCAGTAATATGTTTTACACAGAAAATACCTTCCTTCAGCAAGTTATTGTCCATTTACCAAACAGAACCCTCATTACCAAGGCCTATTGGCTTCATTGCAGCACTTCTTAAACTTCCTTAAAAATCTTCCTACATTTGAAAATTTGGTAAACAAGATACTATAGTTTATTCTTTGTTGCTTCTTTTACATGATGTCTCTACTCATTCTTTTATTACCAGTCAATCTGATTTATTCTCCAGCATAATATTAGCACCTATACCAAAGCATTTTATATAGAATTGCAAACCATTACATCAAGTTAAAGGAATGAGAAGATAGAGTGTTAGATTCAGTAGGTAATCTGTACTAAAAGGTACCAAAAATTTGTAGGCCACTTAAGCCCACACAGTAACAGAGCTCACATTCCAATCGAGTGTTGTCACATCTTTGCTCTTCTCATTTGTTCTTCCTTTTACATGCTTCAGCACTAGAACATTTAATGGACTGTTTTGTGCACCAGATTTGCAATGCCCATCAGCTATTGTCCAAATACGAGCTGTTGAATCTCCAGACCTAGAAATTTAGGCAACGAGAGTTACTGCAAGGGCTATCAGAGAAAAAAAAAAAACCTCTGTGAATGCATACACTAATAAGTGAAACTCCACTACCATGACAGCCAATAACTGTGATTAAAACCCAAAGCTACAAACTTATCAAAAGAATATAAGATGACTTGTCAATCAACAGAAAACAACAAGAAGAACAGAGTCAAGTATGGAGGAACTCTTAGCATAGAGCAGCAAGATCTCAGTTTTAATTTATTTTATTTTTTGAAAGATCTCAAGTAATGTCATCAACAGTGTAAATAAGCATCCCTGCTAGACTAGGAGAACTTCAACTCTCCATTCCAACAACAGTACAACCACCAATACACACGGTCAGAGATCCTACAGCCACACAACTTCAGAGAGTCCACAAATTGCACTTTTTTTTGACAGACCTCTTATTCACTGAGCAGGAGGACTGTTCGAAATGGTTTTACTGCCACCGAGGCTTGAATTTATCATTCAAATGATGAGAACTTCTATAAGTGCGCATTAACTAACACACATGGTACATCTCATGAAGCAACAGAAATCGGCAAGTTCTGAAAGTCAAAAATGCCAAATGACAGGAAATGTATAAAGAAATTGGAAAGAAATACATATAAAAGACAAAACCATCAACATAAGAAACATTTTATCACATAAAAATACCCACCCCGATGCAAGAAGTGAACCAGTTGGACTCCACGCACAAGCACAAACCTGCAAGAAAGACACAAACCAAAGACAGCCTCAGAGAGTGAAAGAGAGGAGAGCATAAAGAATAAATATGTTCAAAAAGGCTCAAACCTCAGATGTATGCCCTTCCAAAATTGTCACATCAGAATTAGGAATTTCACAAGCCTCTTGAGAAGCAGGGGCTGAGGTAGTAGCAATATCCATAGGTTCTGGTCCTACTAAATGCAACAATGCAATTTAAATATAAATGAACAACCAGCAACTGGTTAAGAGAGCTATTTTACCACTATATATAAAGAAAAAATTCATGTGAATTGTCAAATATTCAATTAAAGAAATGTCAAGGCTAACAGAAAGAAACTGATACAAATCAGGAAGACTTATAACAAAGAAGTTGACTAACCTACAGAAGTTCCATTTTCTTCATTCTTGACAACATCCTTGTCTTCTTGATCCATAACCATATCCCTATCAGCAAGTTCCTCCGGTTGCTTTTCTCGCTCCTTATCCCTTTCAACCTTCTCCCTTTCCTTTTCGCGTTCCTTCTCCCTTTCCTTTTCATGTTCCTTCTCCCTTTCCTTTTCACGATCCTTCTCTCTTTCCTTTTCACGTTCCTTCTCCCTCTCATGTCTTTCTTTCTCTCTTACTCGTCCACGCTCTCCTTCATGTTCCCGTTCAAACTCCTTATCTTTATCTTTCTCTTTGTCTCTATCCTTTTGGACATTCTTCCTTTTCTCTTTTATCATTTGCCGCAATTGATTTACATCCTTTGTTATTATATCCAAAGGTTGTAAGAATGAGAAATCTTCATCCATTTCTACATCATTAAATTTTTTTCCCTTTTGGCCCAAAAACTTTTCCCCCAAAAAACACAAGCCCCAATGGATTTCCCCAAAACATGACTCTTACCCACTCCACCCCACCCAAAAAACATGCGAATAAAAATAATAAAACTAATAATAAGAATCAGCATGCTAACATTACTCAAGTTGGCTTCCATCTCCAGGTACTGAAGTCCTTTTTGAACAAATGTAATAAGAGCCCCAGGCGGAATCAAATTCCCATCAATAGTACACTTATTAATGCCTGCCTCATATCCTAAAGTAAATGCTGAATGCGTAAACCCTGCAGGCATTCAATAAGCAGAAGATGAGATCCATTGTACATTATTTATAAGAACCATTCCTTTGAAGCTTGAAAAACAATAATGTAGAACCAAGGAATCCTCCCCCTATTTTCCCATATATAACAAGCAAACAATATACACAAATTAAAATAACCTAAAAACATTTCTTATTTCTATTAGTGAACAAAATCTGAGTGATGCACGTAAATCTCAATTCAAAACTATGACTATCCAAAATGTTATCTGGAAGATGCCTGTTTCAATCAGTGCAATGATTATACAAACTAATAATTCTGAAAATAAGAGTTCATATAGGGATTCTCATATAAAGGTATGCAGTGCCCTAGCCGGCAGAATTCCATTACGCTGCTAATAAAAATAAGAGATTGAAAACCCTAACCAGAATAATAGCCAATACCAACCATCCATTTTCACGGATCTAGAGCCACAATTTAAACATTATAACGCAAGAAATTAATCCCAAAATTAAAGCTTACAACTCCAATTAAACCAGTTTTTTTCTAGTTTCTTTTATTTTACATTAAACGAGCAATAAAAATACCTGCTAACATTTTCCAGATACTAATTGCAAATACATCGAAAAAATTCGCCGGGATATAGAATTAAAACGAAACAGAAAGAAAGACAGAAGAGGTTCAGAAATAGGGAAGCCTGAAAAATGAGTTTAGAAATTAAATGAAAATTGCAACTGACCTGACTCTTGAAGGTAACGGAAGACGAGGTAATTCAATTCGACGGATGTAATGGAGGTCATAGTTACGAAGTCGCGTAATCCCACGGCAGCGATAGAAGCTCAGACTCCCATTAGGTGAAGGAGCAAAGCCAGAGAGAGAATAGAAGGAAAGGAGAAGTCTAAGAAACCTTTTTATTCTATTTTGCAGATTCGGAGATGCTTTGGAGACCGTCGAGATAAGAGACAGAGAGAGAGAGAGAGGAATTTCCAGCCTTTATTTCATTTTCAAGATTTTGTTTCCTTTTGCTTTGTGAAAACCATTTTTATTGGGGCGGAGTGGCAGTAATCTCGCATCTGGATGGTCGCATGTCTGTTTAGGCCCGATAGGATTTGGGCTGAATGATTTTCCCTACGACCAGTCCAGTTTAACGAGCCTGTTTCAGTAAATTTGGGCGGTAAATGTTAGTGGGCACAGACATTAGCAAAACAGCCCAAGTGATCCGTTGTCAATTTGTCATTGTCAATTTGTCACGGTCCACAAAACCGTGACATTCATAAGTCGCAAGATTAGTCGGAATAGCAGCATAATTGTACACTTTTCAGGATCAGAAATCGATCTTGGGCCAACATTGATTAGGGGCCCATTGACAACCAATGGGTTGCAGACAAACCATACCACTTAGCATCGCATGACTGCAGGCCGCGCACAGGAAAGATTACATAGGGAGTAAAGCTTTCTATAGCTAAGTACTACAGATAAAACCCCGTTGTGTTCTAATATTCTTTATTAAAACAACGTTTTCCAAAGCTAAAGTAAAGACGGGATTCCCATGATCCTAAGAAAATCTCACTTTAAGCCGAGACCCGGAAGATTGTGCAATTAATATTCAAAAGCTTTAAATTTTTAATTAAGTGACAACTACAAGGTAAGTTTTTCGAAACTTTAAGATAGTGTTTGGTACTTTATAATATAATGTGATTACAAATAATGTAATTATAGAGAAAATAACACTACAGTATTTGGTATATAAGTAAAATAATGATTAAAATGTAAGAAAATAATATTACAATGTTTGGTTTACAAGTACTTTATTGAAAATATAATATTAATTTATGAAATTATTCCTATTTATCAAAATATAAGTTTAATATATTTATATTTTTTATTATTAATTTTTATATAATATAATCTCTTAAATATATTTTTAATGTCATATATTTTATTTTCATTTATTATTATCATTTTATATATTTTATTTTTATTTTTAATATTATTTTTTATATTACATATTTTAATTTAATTTCTTTTACCTATATTATATAAATTTTAATTTCTTATATTTTCTTTTTATTTTTAGTTTTAATTCTTATATTATATATATTATTTTAATATTTTTTATTTTTAATTATAATATTAGAAAATATTTTTAATAAAATAATAAAGTTGAAAGGTAAAAATGTCTTCAATAACATTACAAAGTATAATGTAATGTAATTTGTTGTGTATAATAAATCTTTTGCTTGTGTGATATGGATTGTGCTTAAAATTAAATACAAAATACAAACAAATACTACGTGCAAGTGCACACAGTCACAATAAGTAATATAATGATAAATAGAGTTTGTCGATCTCTTGAGAAATTGGTTTATTATTTGTTAAAGACTAAAATGAAACAAAAGGAACAAACTACTAAAATGAAATAAAATTTACTCTAAAAGTCTAAATTAATCTAAGAATTGCAAGTTAAAAGTGTAGTGCAGAAACAATGTAATTAAAGACTAAGATAATGGTTTCAGCTGTTGTTTTGTAGGGATACAAGATCAATTAACTACTTACTTTTATAAAAATCAATATTAGTCTAGGTTCTTCGAGCATGCATAATACTCCATTGAGTCATCATGCAATTGCCTAGCTTCATTAACTATCTATATGTCTATAGAAAATTAACTAAAACTAAGTTCACTAAGTTTATGACCTATATTGATTACTTATGATTAATAGGTATACATTTATCTTATTAATTAATCACTCACTTAATTTTTAACATGAAACGAACATACATTATTCAAATTTAGGTCATTTTAAATTATTTTTGTCAAGTATTGTCTAAAATCCTATACTCAATTTGTTGGCAGTCAAACAACAAATGAGATATAATAAGCATAAATTTGATTGGTGATCAAATAGCAAATGAGGCAATAAACATAAATTTAAATAAATATTGATATTCTCATAAAAGCAAGTAAAAATAAATCCAAAATATTTCAACTACACAATAACATCTACCATAATCCTAGATTAAGAATTTTAATTTAACATGCTCAAATGGAGGACATACATTTCAGCAAGGTAAAATATTATTCTATACAAAGAGTTAAAGAGAAAGAAACAAATCTAGAGTGAGAAAATAATTTATTATAGTTTTTTGATCCTCCAACTCTTGATTTCTCTTTTTTTTTTCTTTTGGTTTTTGCCTTTTTGCCCAAAATAGTTTTCCCAAATCTTCCTTTTTTTTCAATGCAAAAATATCTATTTATACTTCTTTCTCTTTCAGCTTAATTTAAAAAGTCGTACAAAAATATTTATTTATTTTACTTACACTATAACTTTAGGCTAGTGAGTGTTTTACTAAGTTTAAGATACCTATTTTATTTAAATTTTCTTATTATCTATATCAAGTTTAAGATGCTTATTTTATTTAAATTTTTTTCTTTACGCTTGTAATATTAGATCACTAAAAATATAGTTATTTTAAAATTAAAAAAACTCTATTATAAATAAGACCCTTGAAATTAAGAAAAGGCCGTCAATGTCAATCGCCTTATAAATCTTTATATTCAAGTATATTTTAAATTTTAGGGTTTTTTTTTGAAATTAATGTAATTATTTTTTTCTAAATCTTTCCTTCCTTCAAGGTTTTTCTCCATTATAGCAGGCTTTTTACCTGAGTGTTTTAAGTACCGCCCGTGACTTAAAGGCTGACGTGCTATGTGTCAGCAAGTCAAAAGCCAAAGTCGTACATCCCCAAGAATTTTCTAAGGAAAACTTCCCTGAAGACTCAAGAAAAATGGAAAGATTGAAAATATTGGTATAAGCATTGTTTTCCGTATAAAACGAAAACAACAGGTAAAAGCACAAGATAGGAAAGCAGAAAATTATCTTAATCGGGAGCCAAATATGACCACAAAATACCAAAGACAAGTCAAATTTCTGCCATTATTCCTTGGACAATTCTCTGTTCACAACATTTAAATAGACAGAGTCCCTATACTCCTGTATATTATTGCCGCAGAGTTAGGATAACAAAAAATGGCAGAAACCACAATGATTTACTCAACTCTTTCCCTTCTGCTCCTTTTTCTTGCTTTGAAGTTCTTGTTTCAATCAAAAATTCGCCACAAAAACTTACCACCCAGTCCACCTTCTCTTCCAATCATTGGCCATCTTCACCTCCTAAAGCCCCCTATTCACCGTGCCTTCCTCAAGCTTTCACACAAACTTGGCCCAGTCTTCTCCCTTCAGCTTGGGTCGCGCCTTGCTGTTGTCGTCTCTTCACCCTCCGCTGTCGAGGAATGCTTCACCAGAAATGACATCGTGCTGGCGAACCGCCCAAACTTGCTTGTGAGTAAGTACCTAGGCTACAACCACACCACTGTTATAAGCGCACCGTACGGGGACCACTGGCGTAACCTCCGTCGTATTAGTACCATTGAGATCTTCTCATCAAATCGCCTTAACATGTTTCACGGTGTTAGAAAAGATGAAGTGAAAAGATTATTGTTGAAACTATCTCGTAACTCCCGTGGAGCTTTTGCCAAGGTAGAGCTTAAATCAATGTTTGCAGACTTGACATTTAATAATCTCATGAGAATGATTGCGGGGAAGAGATATTATGGTGAAGATGTGACTGATGACAGTGAGGCAAAGGAGTTTAGGGACCTTGTAGCAGAGGTAGTTGAAAATGGTGGAGCAGGGAATCCAGGTGATTATCTGCCAATATTGAAATGGGTTGGTAATTATGAGAAGAAATTGATGACGCTTGCTGACAGGATGGACGGGTTCCTGCAAGGGTTAATTGATGAGCTTCGAAATGGAAAAGGAGGAAATACAATGATCGATCATCTCCTTTCCTTACAGGAATTAGAGCCTGAGTACTACACTGATGCAATTATCAAAGGGCTTGTATTTGTAAGTCAAATTTTCTCTGTTTTTTTAATAGCATCAAGAAGAACACACTCTCATCTTGAACTTAACATGTTGAGATTGCTATGACAGGTTATGGTTCTTGCGGGAACTGACACATCTGCAGTCACATTAGAATGGGCAATGTCAAATTTACTCAATCACCCAAATGTGTTGAAGAAAGCCAAGGCGGAGCTAGATTCTCAAATTGGTCAAGAAAGGTTGATTGATGAACCAGATATTGCTAAGCTACCTTACCTTCAAAACATCATGTCTGAAACCCTTCGATTATACCCGGCCGCCCCACTCTTGGTGCCTCATAAAACATCCGATGAGTGTACCATAGGCGGATACAATATACCCCGTGACACCATAGTATTGATCAATGCATGGGCTATACATAGAGACCCTCGATTGTGGGATGATCCGACAAGTTTCAAGCCCGAAAGGTTTGACAATATTGAAGTTAAAGATGGTCACAAGTTCATGCCTTTTGGTATGGGAAGGAGGGCTTGTCCTGGGGCAAGCATGGCTCACCGCATGGTCAACCTAGCTTTGGGGTCATTGATCCAATGCTTCGAATGGGAAAGGGTAGGTGATGAGAAAGTGGACATGACTGAAGGTAAAGGAGTCACCATGCCTAAAGTTGAGCCATTAGAGGCGATGTGCAAGGCACGCCCCATCCTCGATAAGATTCTTTTTTGAGCAAGCTTAAAAGAGTTTTATACTGCAAAACAGTTTGGTATTTCATAATTCCTATCTTGTTTAGACGTTAAATGCTGCTTTTTCATGAATTACGCTTCCATAATATATAACTTTTACTCAATGCAACAGTTACATTATTATTTTAGCTCTGGTGACTACATCTAAGAAATAAAATTTTCTCAGCTGATCAATATATTAAGTTGGATTTGTAGAGATTAACAAACAAAATAAGAGAAAGTCAACTCAAGATTGAACTTGATATATATCTCAAACTATAATATATAGTTAGGATTAAAAGAAAAAAAAAACTCACACAAGGATAAAAAGATGTTTTTTTATGTCCTGTTCTGGGTTTTGCTCTGCAGGGGAGTTTTTTGTGTTTTGATCAGGGGATGGGTTTGTGTACTGAGGAAATTGAACGTGTTTTGTTACCACCGCTAGAGCTCCTGTTTTGGGAGATCAGGCGGTGATGAGTGGTCTTCTTTTGGTGAGATACCTGATTGAATTGTACAGATTTTGAAGGAGACATGCTTAGGAGAGTCTTCTGCTCAGTGCTAAAGACGAACCTGAGCATCCGGTTTCTTTCAGTTTCAATGAAAAGAAAAAAAGAAATATTGGTCATATGTCTGATAATAAGGAATTTAGGATTCAATATTGAAAAATGAAAACAACACCAATTGCTTTTACAAATTAACTTGCTCAACTACTTAATCTTTTTTTGGGGCACAAACTTTTCCCGCCAAGTGAAGATTAGGTTTTTACATTCCTACTTTCTGATCTTTGGAAATTAGGTCAAATTAAAAGGTCGGCTAAAAATGTTAATCTTATAATAAAAATCTGTGTTTTATATCATTTTTATGAATATTTTGATATTGCCTATTCCTCCCGTGTGAATATTTTTATGAATACTAGTATCTTAGCTCTGCCATGCGCTACTCTAAATGGAACTTTAAAAATAGTGAACCCTGCTTGAGAGAATTGTCTATGTATATAATCAAATATGAAGACCAATATGAAATTTATAGATAGTACTTGTTTCTTCGTCGGAGAAGAAAGATGCTTATTCTTGTAAGGCATATGTTGTGATCAACTGGTTATCTTGTCTTATTTACATACCACTGTGTCACAATCATATCCATGTATGGTATCAGCATCTGAATTTATCAATAAACAAGTATTCATGTATCTAAAGAGATGTGGAGATCTGTAATAGAGAAGTTTGAGAATAGACTAGCAGGGTGGAAGGGCATAATGGTATCAATGGGGGATGAATAACATTGATCAAATCTGTCCTTGCTAGTTAACCTATTTTTCATATGTCTGTTTAAACTGCCAGCGGAAGTCAGACAAGAATTGGATAAAATCCAAAGGAGGTTCCTATAGGGTGGATCTATGGAAGAGAGGCGGATCCATTTGTTGATTAGGATTCTATCTGCACACCCACAGAGCTAGGAGGGTTGGGGTGGGTGAGTTTAGGGCTGAAAAATCGAGACATGTTGAACAAATGTATATGAAGATTTGGAAACGGAAGAAATAGTCTGTGGAGGAGAATTCTGGTTGAAAAGGAGGGAGGGAATAATAGAGACCTGTTCCCTAACCCTAACACAAGGACTAGACAATCTTTAGTTTGGAGAAACACAGTCGGCACCCTTAATCAGGTAAGAGTAGAGGGAGAGGTTGCTAGAGGGTGTTTTGGAGTATTGTTAGGAGATGGAGATAACGTTGCTTTCTGGACAGAGAAATGGATCAGAGACGTGGTTCTAAGAGAAGCTTTCCCTAGGATTTTCGCTCTAGCGGTTAACAAATCAGGATTCGTTAAAGAGTTTGGGGATTGGGAGGAGGGGGTATGGCAATGAAAGATTGGGTTGAGGAGACCTTTATTCGGTTGGGACATTGAACAATGGGAGGAGTTGCACGGGTTCATTGGAAATCACTTAGAGGAGGATGGGTATGAAGATAAGATGATTTGGAAAAGATAAGATGATTTGGAAAAGGACTCTCAGTGGATAGTACACGGTAAGCTCTTTTTGCAGAACGATCATGGAAAAGACTGGGGTTGCTAGTGAGCATTGGACGATGATATGGAAGGGAGTTGCCCCGTTCAAAGTTGAGGTGTTTTGCGAGAGAGTTTTGAGAGGTAGGGTTGGCGGTTGCCGAGGCTCAGTTAGACAAAAGAGAGGCCTCTTGGAACCGAGCCTGCATTAGTGTGTCTTCTGTAGAGAGAATTTTGGAGATTGTTTGATCACTTTTTTTTTGAATGTTTTGAAAGTTGGAAGATTTGGATAGGGTTGGGAAGTCTTTGGGGAGTCCAATGGGTGGGGCTATCAAAAGCCCATCGACTTCTTTCTTGATTGGAATGGTCTTATTAGATGTGGGTGACATAAGATTTGGAGGCTTGCTTTCTTGGCCATAATTTGGACTGTTTGGTTAATGAGAAATGAAGTCATCTTTCAAGGCAAGGTGTGGGATGGGGAACAATGTCTGGATCTGGTTAAGTCCAAAGTGGCATGGTGGGAGCGAGCCAAATGGCCACAAAATTACAATCGTTTTAAGGATGTTCTGCGAAGCAATCTAGTAATAAGAACCATGCCCAAAGGAAGGACCAATACCTGGCAGGTTGAGTGGAGGCCCTGGAACTTTAAAATTCAATGTTGATGGGGCTGTCCAAGTGGATTTAGGGTTGACAGCTATCGGAGGAGTATTGAGAGATGAGTTGGGGACGGTCAAAATGATGTCCTCTAAAGCAGTAAGGGGCAATGATGCTGATAGAGGCCGAAATTTTTGCTATTAAGAAGGCTTTTAAGTTATTTGGTGCTTCTTAGTGGGCGAGCTCACATGACAGTGATTCAAACAATGCAGTAAAATGGACACAGGATCGGGAAAAAGCCCCATGGAAACTAAGAGGCGATTTGGCTGAAATTGGAGGGCTAGAGACTTTTGTGCTCTCTGGCCACTCTGTTTTTAAGGCAATGTGTGCTTGTTCTCTGTATTGACTCTGATTTCTCTGGTTGCCGCCGATTATTTCTGAGCAGTTTCTTTAGCCCGTTGTACTGATTCTCCTTTGCCCGAGCAGTCTCCATGATATGCCATGGTGAGTCGCAGACAACCTCAGACTTGTTATGGCATTTGTGGGCTGCAGTGGCTCAATAAATTCATCTTTCAAAAAAAAAAAAACCATGTAATCATTTTATTTCATAATTGCATTTTTGTTTTCAGTCTGAAAATTGGTGGATGGAATTATTGCCTGGTCAGTGGTCACCAAGTCACCACCCACCTCACAGCCGGTAAGAAAATGGTGGTGAAGTCTCCATCCTCCAAGTTCAGCTTCTTGTTAACTATCTTTCTCTTCTCACATTGGCAGCTACAAGCAAAACTACAAAAAGCCTAATCAATCTTTTTGGGGATAGGATGCGCTGGCTTGAGCATGAGGGTGGATGTTTGATTTTTAGAGAAGGAGGGAGCGGCGGATGGGTTGTTGTGTTATTCTGGTGTCTAAAGGCTGCTTGATGATTGGGTTGGGGGATTCTGTTGGGGTCTTTGCGGCTGTGACTTCATAGTGGTGGAGCTGAAGGATGATGCAGCCACGCTTGGTGCTTGTGTTGCGCTGACGGATCGTTGATGTTCTAACGGTTGGATTTGTCAAAGTGCAATGGTCTTGTCCGTTGCTGCTCTAGAATTCCTCTCAGTGACCAAAATCTTTTAAGGGATTAGAGTTCCTTGCTTTTGTTGCGGAAGTCATTGTTTTGATGCTTTTGGTTTTGTTTTGTTAGTTTCGAGATGCTTAGCTTAGGGTATAATCTTAGGTTGAAGGGTTTCATTTTCCATCTGTCAGTTTTTGTGTTGAGGCAGTTTTAGATTGTCTGTTTTTGTAGGCTGGATTGCGGGAGTTCTGCTAATTTTTGTGAGCATGCCCGTGTCTTGTAACGTTCCTTTTTGCTAAGCCGATCTCCATGTCAACAGAAGTCTCTAACATTCAAATAACAAATCGGTAATAAATAATAAAATCCACTTTTCAAAAAAAAAAAAACCATTCCTGAAACATATATGCAGAAACCCAACTCTGCTCAATATCTCAAAATTTTAGAAAAAAATGAAAATTCATGAAAGATACGAAGCTATCAAATGAGAATTAGAAAGTGGGAAGATAGATAGGAAACAAGGAAGGAAAAAAAAAGTGGGAGGCTGCCGTTTCCGATGAGCAAGACGGCCAGCGACTGCAGAATAGAGAGACAGAGGAGTGAGAAAGGGAGTTTGACAGAGAGGAGGCTCCCGGGAGACGTTCGATTAGGATTGTCATCGAGTAAAAAGAATGCTTTCTGTACCAGGCGTCTCAAACAAAGAGCTCGGCGCTATCTTGATAAGCAGGGCTGCCAGTCCCTGATTGTTTTCTGCCTTATGAATTGGTTGAGTGTAAGTCTTTCGTCCATCACATTCAATGAAATATTGAATATTCTAATGATATATGACTTGAGCAAATATGTGTTGTTGAGAAAATTACAACAAATTATTGTTATTCATTTTGGGCAACTTCGACAAAATTGTCTACTGAAACTATACGCTAATAATTGAGAAACCGACGGACCCCCACCACCGCTTATTGTCCTTCAAAATTTACGTGGCCTTCCAGGAACCCCCCAAAACGAGTAAGTTGTAGCACTAAAAAGAACAACCTCGATGTTTTCCATCCAAGCAATTTCTCGACATCACGCCGTATCTCCTTTATATAAAAGTTCCCATTTTCAGTCTTGCATCATCATCCAAGCATGGAACAAACTTTACTATGTTCATTGGCTTCCGTTCTGTTTCTCCTTGTTGCTCTCAAGTTCTTGCTACAAGCAAGAAAACACAAAAATCTTCCACCAAGCCCTTTTGCTCTTCCTATTCTTGGCCATCTCCATCTCCTCAAAGAACCCCTCCACCGAACACTCTTCACTCTCTCACAAAAACATGGTCCGATCTTCTCTCTCCGCTTCGGTTCTCGCCTCGTGGTTGTAATAACATCACCGTCTGCCGTCGAAGAATGCTTCAACAAAAACGATATCACCTTAGCAAACCGTCCTCGTTTGATCATGGGAAAGTATGTAGGCTACAACTACACCATCCTCGCGTTAGCTTCATACGGTAATCACTGGCGCAACCTTCGTCGCCTAGCTACCCTTGAAATCTTGTCATCGAATAAGTTGAGCATGTCTACAAGCATTCGGAGAGATGAAATCAATAGTTTAATACGTAGATTATACCGTGTTTCGGTCAATGGTTTCGCCAAGGTAGAGCTGAAAACCTTGTTCACGGAGCTGACATTTAATATTATCATGAGAATGATTGCAGGGAAGTGGTATTATGGTGATGAGGTGAGAGGAAGTGAAGAAGCAAGAGGGTTCAGGGCGATGATAGGGGAGCTTTTTGAATTGGCAGTTTCGTCATATCCTGGAGATTTCTTGCCTTTGCTGAGTCGGGTCGACTATAACGGTTACATTAAAAAAGTCAAGTTAGTAGCTAAAAATGCAGATGCGTTTACACAAGGTTTGATTGATGAGCATAGAAGAAATAAAGGTGATTTGAAGCTAAAGAACACAATGATTAGCCATTTGCTCACTCTGCAAAAGTCACAGCCTGAATACTACACGGATGAAATCATCAAGGGTCTCGTACTGGTCAGTTAAATCCATCCCTTGCTTTCTTCTTTTCAAAAATTGCTGTTTTTGAGTTCAAAAGAATAATTCATCTCTAACTCACTGGATTTTATAATTAGCAAATTGTTTGTAAAAATTGTTTTTAATTGCCAGAGTTTTTTTCTATTCTGGAACGGGGGGGTTTTAAACAGCAACTTCTAGGTACTTTGGATTTCCTTAGGCATTTTTTTTAACTTATATTTTAGTATACATTTTGTTGTGCTTGTGCAGGTCATGCTACTTGCAGGCACAGATACAACAGCAGTAACATTGGAGTGGGCACTGTCTAATTTACTTAACCATCCTCGCATTTTGGAAAAAGCTAGAGCTGAATTAGACGCTCAAATTGGCCAAGAACAGTGGGTAGAAGAAACAGATTTGTCCAAATTAAATTACTTACAGAACATCATTTCTGAGACCTTGCGACTGTATCCAGCAGCTCCCCTGCTAGTTCCGCATCTGGCATCGGATTATTGTACTGTCGGAGGATATGATCTTCCACCTGAAACTATAGTATTCGTGAATGCATGGGCTATTCAAAGGGACCCAGAGTTATGGGAAGATTCAACAAGTTTTAAGCCTGAAAGATTTGAAGGTACAGAAGGTACGACTCAAAATAAACTAATGCCATTTGGGTTGGGAAGAAGAGCTTGCCCTGGAGTGGGACTAGCCCATCGTGTGGTTGGTGTGGCCTTGGGATCATTGATCCAATGCTTCGAATGGGAGAGGGTGAGTGACAAGGCAATTGACATGACCGAAGGAACAGGTCTCACCATGTCAAAAGTTGAACCACTGGAAGCCATGTGTAAAACACGTCATATAATTAATAAGCTGCTTGTTGAAGTTAATTAGATTGGATTGTTCTTGTTTCTTTTACTATACTTTTGGTGTCTTGTTTACTAAATTAGGAGTTGGGTACTGATTTTTATTTGTTTCATTCAAAAATTAATAATTGTTCTTTTTATATATATATATAATGTAAGGTGTAAAAGTTATGAGAAACCCTTTTTAGGTTAGACAAATGATTTATTTTCTCAACCAAAACGGGTATATAATTCACTAAATTAAGATATATATATATTTACAAACTATTTTTCCTTTTGTCCATTTCAAAGCCTGGAATTAGGGTAGATAAATAATTTGGAGTTTGGGAATGATTAAAAAAAAGGGATTAGATACGGAAATAAAAAATTTTAGTTGATTTTGAATCAAATACTCAAAGTAGGTTGTCTAGTTAATTTATTTTCTTCAATAAGCAAAGGGCAACTAGTTTAATCGTATGAATCACTATACAAGATAATTTTTATTTCTTTATTTTTTTTCATTTAATTTAGTAAGTTATTTTTTATTATTTTTATATTTTATCATATTTTTCTTAGATTTTATTATATAATTACTTAAAATTAATCTATCTTGTGAAAATAATCATTCCCTGCAACAATTTTAATAGGACCTATAATTATTTTCACTTAAGAAAATTTTAAAAGAATTGTCACTTACAACTTTCTCAAAAATTCCATTTTAAGAGATTTTTTAAGTGCTTCTACTTTTAATTATTCAACTTATTCAAATAAGAATTCTTATTTTATCATTTTATTATTATTTTATTATTATTTTTAAATACTTTAATAAATTTAAATATACAAATAAATTAAAATTAAATAGATAAAATAAAAATAGATTAGCACGTATACTTTAAGTGGGCTTTGCCCAAATCGGCTGGTCCAACATTGTTTTGGGCTTTACTTAGTCAATTTTAAATCGTTCAGATCCGACCTGCATCCTTCTTCCATTTCTTTTTTTTTTCATTCTTCGTATAGTCCTTCTAGTATTTTTCTTAGACAGATCAATATGTCATGTTTTCTCTTATCCAGACATTAAACATTAGTTTATTGACAAGAAAAAATTAATGGAGTATAATATCAGGCAAGAAGGATCTGAACAGCCGCATGGAAACAAAAAAAGATCCTATGGTTTTAACGACAGTATACTAGAACTGATATCGGCCAAAGGCATCCAGTAAAAGCACAAACGAATAAAAAAAAATAAAGAAAGCCTTGATTAAATAAATAAAACATCATTTCAATTCATTTTGATTAATTTTATATATTAAACATCTCGATAAATATAATTGATTAAGTTAATTATGTTGAAAATATATCTCCACAAATGAATATCATTTAATTATTGCAGGTGTTATGTACAAATTTTATCTGATTAGAAATGAATATAAATTTTGTCTAAATTATAATTTTTTTAATTTCATGTTCATTTGCTAATAATATAAATACAAAGGAAACAGAAAATCATATACTTCATATTCATAAATAACGTAATTTCAAGTAACCTTTCCTATTTCCTTTTTTTTTTTCTCTTTGCTGTGATTTTATATTTTAAATTTAATGTCGATCACAAAAAATTTAAGACCGTCCAATTTTGGCCTGGCCATAGTGTCATTTTTCTTGGAAATGATATGCTTTGCCGCCGCCAAGTCCTTTATAGTAATAACTCAAGCGCACTGCTCCTGCAAATCTTATCTTGAGCATGGATCAAATCTTGATATTCTCATTGCTTTCAACTCTTTTTCTCCTCCTTGCGATCAAGTTAACAAGATCAAGACACAAAAATCTCCCACCATGTCCTTTTGCTCTTCCAGTTCTTGGTCATCTTCATCTTCTCAAAGAACCCCTCCATCGAACAATCTCCAACCTCTCACAGAAATATGGCCCAATCTTCTCCCTCAGGGTTGGCTCTCGCCTCCTGGTTGTCGTGTCATCACCCTCAGCCGTCCAAGAATGTTTCACAAAAAACGACATCGTCTTAGCGAACCGTCCTCGTTTCGCCATGGGCAAGTACGTTGGTTACAACTACACCACTCTTGGATTGGCTCCGTATGGTGATCACTGGCGCAACCTTCGTCGCCTAGCCACAATCGAAATCTTCTCATCGAATCGTTTGAACATGTCGTTAGACATTCGAACAGATGAAGTCAATCGTTTATTGCGCAGATTGTGTCAGGTTTCAGCCAATGGTTTCGCCAAGGTAGAGCTGAAATCGATGTTCTCAGAGCTGACGTTTAATATAGTCATGAGAATGATTGCAGGGAAGCAGTATTTTGGTGATGATGTCAGTGGGAACTACGAAGAAGGGAGGCGGTTCCGCGGGATTATTAAGGAGCTCTTTGAATTGGCAGTGTCATCATATCCAGGAGATTTCCTACCTATATTGCAGCTGGTTGATTACAATGGATACATCAGGAGAATAACGAGGCTTGGTAATAAAGCAGATGAACTAATGCAAGGCATGATCGAAGAGCATAGAAGAAACAAAGGTGATTTGAAAATAAAAAATACTATGATTACCCATTTGCTCTCTTTGCAAGAATCACAGCCTGATTATTATACAGATGAAATCATCAAAGGACTCATACAGGTCAGTTACATCGATGGACCCTTGCTCCATCAGTTGTCCTTTTTCTTTATAAAAAAAAAAAAAGGTCAAATTCTTGAAGATCTACATGGTTTTTATTACTTCCCTGCAATATTTTAATTCTTTTCGTAAATTGCATACCTCTAGATAAAAGATTCACGTAATAAATGATTCTGAAAAAGGAATGGTAAGCCTACCAACTAGCAATATATTAAGTACAAAAATTCTGTAACTGTTCTAGTTTCATTAGGTGTCCATATTTAATTCTAAATGAATAAATCGATTGAATTATGAAATTAATATATTCAAATTAAATTGACATGTGATAAATTATAAATCTGTTTGTGAAATTAAAACCCGACTATTAATGAATAAGGTAATAAAACTAATCAGGGTGGAGGTAGTCAATTTTTATTGAAAAGGTCAAAGATCAAGAAGAATAAAAGTTAAAAATTTTTAAAGCTAATATATTAAATTTAATCATTAATAATCTAAAGATTTATAATAGATAATAATTTTATATAACATATAAATCAAAAGAAACAAAAAAAAATTTATAATAGTACTCTAGAAAAATTTTGTTCGACAATGGTAATATCTTTTCTAACATAAACAATTAAATTATTTATAAAAAACTTTTCATTTATTTTATTTTAAAGTCTTATCTTTTTTAATATAAACAACTAAAAAATTAATGTAGTCAACATCTAATATTTTTATTTTATTATATTTAAGTTTATAATATTAAATATTAAACTATAATACATAAAATATAAATAGTTAAATACGATATACAAAATTAATAATTTTTTATTATACTCAAGATAATTTTCTTTCAACTAAATATAAAACATAAAGCACATTAAAAACATATAATCAAGATAATTTTTTCTTATATAATTAGAATTAATAAAAAAATAAATTAGTAAAATTTTAAATAATAACCAATAATGCAACACTAAAATTTGTATTTAAGAATTACATATACAATAATTTTTTAATTTTTAAAAATTAAAATTATTAAAAATAAAATCCACATAATAATAAAAAAAATCATAACAAGTAGGAGATATAACTTATACAACAAAAAAAAGAGAATATGGTTGATGATTTGTAGAAATTTAGAAAAGAAAATCTATAAAAACTTAAAATATATGAGCAAATAGAATAGAATTGAAAAAAATAAATAATAATAATATAAATAAAAAATTAAATAAAAATTTTATTTTTTTATAATTTCACAATATAAGGATAGAAAAAAAATATAATTGAAGATATTTAAAAAATTAAAAAAATTAAAAATTTGAATAAAATTGAATGAAGTTTGTAAAGTTATTTTATTATTTTTTAATTATATTAATTATTTAATAAAAATTATTAAAAAATATATAATGGATACAAAATTTCAAAAATTTTTAGAAAACCATTACAAAGGGACGCCCTGGGACCCTCCGCCCCTGATGCTAATGGAAATAGTCCTAGTGCCACTAAATAGGGAAAAATATACTTTTAACACTAAATTGACAACTTAGGATTGTGTTTAAATCACTATTCATATGCATGGTTAAATGCAAAGTATATTTGTATTGTGCGTTCAAACATATGAGTAATAATTTTATTATTAATCACATGCTAGTGTCGTCTTGTTATAATTCAACAAAAGACATTAGCCATTTCCACTTCCAAAGCGTCATCAACTGCCCTTATGCATAAATAAATATATATTAAGAAAATGTTAAAGTGAGGTTTGGTGGCAACATAAGATAATCCCATTCTGATTTCTCCTCCCTCTTTTTCATTTTTGGTTTCCTTTCTATTTTTAGATTAATTTGTCTTTCTCTTTTGTTTTCTTTCTATGGAATAATTACTATTTGTCAAAGCTGAGTTTGTATTCTTCTTTTGTGTTTTTACCCTTTTTTTTTTTTTCCAAATTCACCACTTTGTTAATACAATCTTTTCCTTATCATTATGTAATTATAATTTCACATAATAAACTATTAAGCACAAGTTATAAATAGTGATGATAAATCAACAAAAATATTTATTACTTAAATCTAATCTTATTAATCTTTCAATTTTTGGATCTCAACAAACATTTTAAAATATTTTTATCTGGCATAGGATGCAGTTAATTGATAATTACTACAAGCTTATATATTGCAATTTTTCAATGCTGGGATTTCTATATTTTTGCAGGTCATATTAAACGCAGGAACTGATACAACAGCAGTAACATTGGAATGGGCAATGTCTAATCTGCTAAACTATCCTCATGTGTTAGAAAAAGCTAGAGTTGAACTAGCCAAAAATGTTGGTGAAGACCGACTGGTAGAAGAAGCTGATCTCTCAAGATTACCTTACTTACAAAACATAATTTCCGAGACTTTTCGGTTATGCCCAGCAGCTCCACTCCTAGTTCCACATTCGGCATCAGCTGATTGCAGTATCGGAGGATACGAAATACCCAAGGAAGCTATCTTGATAGTGAATGCTTGGACTATTCAAAGAGACCCTAAATTATGGGACGATCCAACTGCATTTAAGCCGGAGAGGTTTGAAAGCAAGGAGACAAGTGATCAGACCTATAGGCTAATGCCATTTGGGTTAGGAAGAAGAGCTTGCCCTGGAATGGGACTAGCCCATCATGTGTTGGGCTTGACATTGGGGTCATTGATTCAATGTTTTGAATGGAAAAGGGTGACTGAGAAGAAAATTGACATGGCCGAAGGACGAGGGCTCACCATGCATAAAGTCGAACCATTGGAAGCCCTGTGCAAAGCAAGTCGTATCGCAGATAAGGTGCTTTCTATATTCTAAAGTTGTTTAGAATTATTAATTTTTCTTCTTCTTTTCTTTAATAGAATGTTGTTCATAATGCAATACGGCTGGATTGTAGACTTATGAATAGAAATTATTGTCATTAGCCATAAAATTTACTTTGTAATGTGCTTAAGTTTGGGAAATGACTTATTTATAGAACGTGCATTTGTAACAACATCCAAATTTAAGAATGACAGAAGAATTATTTTGCCTTCCCAAAGAATTCTTAGCCTAACTGGGTATATGACTCGTTGATTGGGTGGGGATACCACACTAATTATTATTTTTTTCCCAAAAATATGAGAAAGGGCACTGCCCTGAAAAAGATTGCCTGAAAACAGGCTTGAAATACGAGGGCAGTGGATTCATTAGTTGTCCTAAGGATAAGTATTTCATTGCTGTTGACGATTTTGCCTTCCCATTATTCAATTAATAAACTAACTTATCTTTGCAACAGGGCAAAGGACAATGTAGAATAAGTAATTTATTTAGGTCCTCCCACCGAACTGTTTTAATCCAATTTCTCTGTTCCAAGGCGACAACAATTATAATTTAAGCAAAGTTGGTACATCTGTGCAGATCTAACAACCCTCACTCCGATTAGGCTTGGAAGAAACAAAGACCTGATCACACAAGAAAACTGTTTTGAGACCATTGAACAAAACAATACGGCTTCTGATGACCCCTTTCGTTCTTCTCATTGACAGAAAAGGCCTACATGAATACCTGATCTTCCTCAACGTTAGGCATCCAGTCATTTGTTGCCGGGTTGCTTTTGAAAATTGGCCTGTTGAATACATTTCCCGCACCCTGGCCGTTTTGCAATTGAATATCATATCTATTTCCTTCACCCCCTTCCCTCACCACTCTTATAAACCCACTTCCAGTCTGTGATCAATAAACAAAACAGAAACCGATGCAAATTCAATGAAAAGTAAAGCAAAGACACTACAGACAAAAAAAAAAATTAAAACTGCAAGAAAGATTAACAGGTCAAGAGCAAAAACCGTGTGGTGCTCCTTGTCAATAGAATCCATCTCCTTGTAATACTGTGTCTCCACAAATTCATCTTGCACAACACTATCTCCTTGTAATATTTTCAGCTGAGAGTGCAAATTCCAGAACTCAAAAGAGGAACCAACAAAAGGGTAGAAAGACAAAGATGATAGAACCATGTTAAGGAATGCATACATGAGATTGAGACTGAAGCGATCGTAACTTGTCAAGCTCGGGTATGTTTTGGTCTACAGCTGGCGGGAAATTGGAGGTGGCTGTTGCTGAATCAGGTTCACTCCTGGTGGGCTTGATGGGTCGTTTCGGGGCCAAGGAATCGAACTGAGCTCTGACCTGATTGGTGATTTTTTGCTGTTGATCTGCGTCCAAAACTTCATCACTCCGGCTTGGTTTAGTCACCGTCCATTGACCCACCATCCTGATCTCGAGTGTTTAACCCTTTGTCTTTATTTTGTTTCTTTCTTCTTGGTGTTGATGGTAAGCTATCCTCTTTTCATCTACAAATAAGAGAAAGAGTGCAAGGGCCCTTGATGGCGGAGCGGGTCGGCAATCTCCTGTTGATATAGTAAAGACAAAATTTGAAACTGTGGGCTGTACGATACCGCTTACTTTTGCGCTGTAAATCCTTTGGCTTTGAACATTTTTGTGTCAAATCGTTCGTTTAGTCGCCCCGTCCTATCAAAATGCTAAATTTTTTATAATATTAAATTTTTATATTTTTTTTTAAATTATAATATAAATATAATATGTTAAAATTTTTAATTATTTATATTAATATAATATTTAATTGTATTAATATGATATTTTTTAATAATATGATATTAAATTTAATAATATAATAATGATGATCTAACATTTCAGGATGATGTAATAAACGTATCAAAATGACATAATTAAATATTAATATGAATTTTATAAATATAAATATTAAATTATCTAATATGATGTGAGTAAATAGTTTTAAATAAGATTAAAAAAGAAACAAATCAAATTTATTAATAAATTTTTAAGATTTAGGAAAAACGTGTTGTGAAATGGAGATGAATTGAAATTTTTGTATTTTATAATTTAAAATAATAAAAAAATCACATTATCATTACTGATTTTCATACTATATTGACAAGAAAATATCATATTAACATAAATGATAGAAAGAATTTAATTTTTTATTAATTTTAAAAAGTATAAAAAGCTTACTTTTTATAAATTATTATATAAAAATTAAATCTATCATTTAATAAAATATGAATAGTTATTGCATAATTTAATCAAAGTTTTTCAAATTCCAATATTCCCGTGGTTCTAAAATGATAATACCGAAGCTTGGGCTTTCCTGGAGTAGCCCAGATGCTGACATAAATGGCTGCTTGGAGCATTCGACCCAATCATCCAAGTCCCAAATCCAGGTTGTCGTTCAAATGCAAAATTTTGACTAAATTAAAACGGGATGGACGTGAGTAGCGTTAGTCAAACAAAGGGAGAGAAGTGTCTAAAGTTTGAATTGGGATAACTTAAAACCAGAAAGTGTATTGATATAAGTCATCAAAACCTAAGGAGCTGTGATCCCATCTCTTTCCTCTATTTGCAAGTTCATGTTATATCATCTTTTTTTTTTTTGACAATATGAAGTAATTTACCGTGAAATAATACTGGTAGCAAATTGCCCGTGATTAAAGGATTCTTGGAGAGTCAATCACCTACTTCAAATATTATCTTTAGTAAATCCTATCAAATTGTTTCCAAATGCAATGTATTGGATCTGTGGGTTATATTCATTCCACCAAAGAAGTGGTTTGAAGTTGATACATACAGGGTAATGTCCAATGAATCATGCTACTGTTGCAGCAGAGCTGAAGATTGTGGAACATAGAAAGCACTTGACTGCTACTTTCCCTATAGAATTTTAAGGAGACTAGGTCCTCAGAATACAACAAGGGCTTCCAACTAAAATCATGAACTTGTCTACAAAATGGGCCTAATGACTATTCAGTTCCTGTTGATGATTCATCTTCTCCAGGATTCCGTTTAATAAACAAATCTATCACTGCAACAGCTTAACAGACAAGAATAATTTAGAAGCTAGTGCTTAGATTGTTTATCTGAAGTCACTCTCAGGATGTAAAACTTCCCACCATACCCATCCTTATCTTATTATTTCACTGTTCCCGCACTACAACAACCACTTCCATAATTTAAGAAAAGACCCGAGTACAGAACACGGATGAAAATTACTGTCTTAAATCCATCCGTATTCTATTTAATGTAAAACAAAACTGAATTAAACAAAGAGAACCAAAAAGACAAAACCAAGCGTCTGGTCCTGTTTGTCAATCGAATCCAAGTCCTTGTAACACTCCACCAACTCATTTTGTACCTCAATATCTTCCTCAACCAAAACATTTACCTGAGTCTAATAATTTGAAAGATGAAAGGCGAAAGAGGTAAACAACTTAAATCTTGGAAAGACAAAGATAATTGGACCTGATAGGACGTGCGTAGATGAGATTGAGATTGAAGACAAGCACTCGATTGCACATATAGTGGAAGGAAGAAAGAAGATAGTGGGGGAACAGAGGACCTTCAGGAAGCGTTGGGAAGAAATTAAAACTAGGCGCTATTTAAACCGCACAACTTGCATGTCGTACCTTTTGGTGGGTTTGTCCACTTTCTAGAAAGATAATAAGTGTGGGGCTGCTGCTTTGGGGCTCTTCTGGGTCAGCCCAGATTCTGGCATTAGATGACCCTGCTTGAACTTAAGACAGATGCATCTTTACACTTAACAGACTCATCTTCAAAAAACGCAGAATTTGGACTGTTTATGTGTAAAGATGCTGACATAAGGCAGTGAATTAATTAAAGACACGAAAGGGGAATAGAAAAGTCCTTAGTTAAAAGAGACAAGAAACCGTCTAACACAAGATTATTACAGAAATTCAAGGCAAACCAAGACAAACCAACTAATTGTCGCTGAACTAAGAAAAGTCAGAAACGTGGTTCTCGGGCAAAAGGGAAAACGAGTAGAAGTAAATGCCGTGATCAGAATTGACATGCCAAGAAATAGATATTTCCCTCTGGAAACCATTGTGCTTCGCAGCATTAGAGGAGCTCAATTATTTTTCTCAAGCAGAATACATCCATACATTTTGATTATCAGGTCAACCAAAGTCTTCCCTTTCCATCTGCACCTTCCTTGCGCATTATTATCAATCATTAGAACTGGTCCTTACTCCTCAGTGCTGAGATATATACTTGATTACTTCCACTAGACAAGGGAAAAAAACAGGAAAAAGAGGAAGACCGTTCCAATGGAAAAACTGCTCTTCCTTAACGTTCTCTTGCCTTTGTTTCTTCTCCAATTCTATCCTGTTCTGATTCTCTCAGAACCTTACGTTTTTCCAGATAAATACTTCATAAACTGCGGGTCATCTTCTTCTGTGAAACTAGGCAGCAGGAACTTTGTTGGTGACAAGAATCCCAACTCGTTCCGCGTTGAAGAAGGCAAACCTGTCGAAGATACCAACCAGTCAGTCGGCTCATCTCTCTACCAAACAGCAAGGTTTCATACACGCCCATTTTCATATAAATTCGACATCAATGACATACGCCTACATGTGGTACGTCTTCATTTCTTTCCTTTCATGTCAGGCCAGGTTAATCTGGTGGATGCTTTATTCAATGTTTCAGCTTCCGGTAAGTCTCTAGTATCCAATTTCAGTGTCAGAAATAGTAGTTCTTTCCCTGTGATTAAGGATTTCTTGGTGCCTATCAATTCAAAGAGCTTTAGAATTCACTTCATCCCGGTACAACAAACATCTTTGGCTTTTGTGAATGCTATAGAAGTTTTTCTTGTTCCAGATCTTGTCGATAACCGAACTCTTGTTACTTCGACAGGAAGTAAGGGTTTTTACCGAGGTTTGCGCTCTCAGGTGCTTAGAACAGTTCAGAGAGTTAATGTTGGGGGTCAATCCCTTAACGACCCAACCGCAGTAGCATCAGAATGGGTTGCTGATGATGACTATATATTTATTGGAAATTTGGCAAAAAATTGTAGCTATTTTTCTGGTAGACTAAACTATGATGATGAAAAAGGAGCCTTCCAAAACTTTGTCCCAGATCTTGTCTACAGAACTTGCAAAGAAGTGGACTTAACTAATAACCAGACATC